CCAGGAAGGCACCTGATCCTCAATAATAAATTTGTTTTTGGGACCTCAATTGTGAACAGTTTTTTCCACTGGAAAAAATGCACATGGAATCTCCCTTTACTTAGCTCCTGAGGCCAATGAAAGCAAAGCTTGGGGCTTCTCTTGAGCTGAAGATCTGAGGCTGCAAAGCAAAAGGATTGCTGAGAACAATTACAAAGCACCTGAGAAAGGAAGCTGAATACAATCTATGAAAGGAAAATTAATACTACAATCAATTACAAAAGATCCCTCACCAGGAATCCAGATTTGTTTTGGTGATAGTTTATTATAGAGGTCTCCCTGTTTGTTTGAGGGGGGGGGGACCCCCCTTTACTAATCAGGATCCAACATTACACACATCAAACCACTCCACTCACCACATGTCCCGCCTATGTCTTTCGAAAACGCCACAAAAACCACATGTCCCGTGCATACGGTCACCGGTCGAGCCCGTGACCTGAATCCGAGCGGACAAGCATAAAGCCGAGACCTGTGCTGACCTGAAGCCGAGGGGTGCACATGCGAAGAGGTTTAAACCTCTAGAGTGAGTCATGGTGATGGTGTTCTTCGGCGTTCCTTTCAGTGGTTTCAACGGCCGAAGATGATGCAAAACAGTTGGGAGGTAGTGAGTATGGAGATCGTTAATTGGGGAAAGGAATACAAAGGGCAAAGGTCGTTTCTTTTGAAGACAATGCAAAGCCACTTACGCCTGAGAGCATGAAAGGTGAGGTTCGCGACACACGCCAAATCCACATCTTCCAACTTAAAGCCCTGGCCACTTGCTACATCTCCACCCAAATGAGCGTCTGAGGGGAGGCTTTGCCTCGCTTTGCAGGTTTCAGCAACATGTGTTAGCCATATCCAAATGGTTATAGCTTTTGATGGGGGCCTATCGCATCTGCAGGTTTGAACCCAATTCCTGAGATTCACCACCGCTCTTTATGAAGTCATCGCATGAGCTGATCACACGCACGGTACAACCCGTTCTGAGCGCCCCGGCTTCGAAAGGCCTTTGGCCACTTGGATGGCTTGATCGGAGGATTGCACCGCCTAGGCCACATCGCCCAGGCATTCGCTGCAACAGTCCAGACCGTCGCGGACGAGGCACATCGAGACGCGATACACAGACATGGGCAAACCGACGGTGCCGCAGTTCGAAATCCATGCGGGTGATCTGAACTCATGCTTCGTGAGTACAGGTTCCTGGCACCACTCCACCTGTACCCGATCCCCCCCCCGGTCACCTCGGCCTTCTCGTTCAGCTGTGGTTTGGCCTGGAAAAGGAGGCAAGGAAAACGGTGGGTTCACAGTTCAAAGAGATACTGAAAGCTTGAAGTAGCTCAAAATCCAAAAGTTTCCAAATGTTTCCAATGTGTGAGTCTTCCACAACTCCAATTGGAACTGGAACTAAATGCTTTCTAGCTCTTATGGGACTTACTTGTGGGACTTCCAATCGGTGATTGAACAACAGGCAATGACTGGCAATCATCCTGAAGCAGGATGACAAATGATTGCCATCGAATACAAAAGCGACCAATATACTATCAAAGAATGTTGGTTCATTGGTGTTGAAGAGTCTACAGCATCTGGGATACGGAGTTGATTGTGTTGTGATTCTGACAGCCTCATAAGGCGCAAGCTGGCTCTGGATAAACATTTCGGCCACCCAACAAGCGGCAGTCCGTGATTCTGTTTCATAATGGTCCTCTTTGAAAGGCCGTCATCTGCTGCATACTCTTTTTGGTGCATGTCATGTGCGCTTTCAGGCTGTCTTTTTCAAGAACCAGCCTGCAACCCCAAGGCCCCAGACCCCGCAATCCCCTCCGCCACCGCCTGGATCCCGGCCATGGTGCTCAAAGCGGCCACATGTCCAGCCTTGAGCGCGTCGCGCTCTACTGCCGCACGGAGGCCGGACCAAAAACAACCGTATGACTCCGGAAGCAGCGGAAGAGCACGAGACCCCTTTGAGGGCCGGGGGTGGTTTTGGAACCCCTCAATATTGGGGACATTCCGGCATTCTGTGGCATACTTGTTGTTACCAAAGCCTGGGAAAGGTAAACACATATTCACCGATTTAAATGTCATAAATTGATTTGAAAAACCATCGGCAAACCTCTCTTCCTTCTGCCAAGACTCTACCTACCTTTTGCCTCTAATTTCACCCCTTCCCAGCTGATTCACCTTCCACCTCAACCTTCAATTTGCGCATGGATCCTGGTTAGCAGACTGGAATCCCTGCTTTTTCATGCAAACATCCTTGCTTTTCTTCCACCTCAAGCTTCTTTCAAGCCAAGAACCAACCACCGCCCGCCATGATCCGGCCTTCGCCCCCGCCCCCGCCCACTTCGCGCGGGCCCACCGATGCCACCCCCCCTCCCACCGACCACCCTGGCGTCCGCGCCGCGTCCGCCTTCAGCGCCGCGACGGCCTCCTGGGCCGCCGCCTTCGCTGCGGACAGGTCGCCTCGGAGGCGCCGCGTGACCGCAGTGGCGTGAGCCGTGGCCGCCTGGATCAAGACAGGTCCTGCCCGCCCGTGCCGCCTGGAGTAGCGAAAACTAATGCGAACATGACTGCTCTCTTCCAGTGCTTCTGGAGCCACCTGGTCCAGCTTTGTGGTGATTCATGTGGAAACCTCCCAGTCGTTCGGAACCCTCTGAAGGAAAATAGACCACAACCGAATGGTGTGGGGTGTTTCCCTATATTAAAAATCTATTATATAAAATACGGTACCCAATGATGTCGGAGCTTGGACAAAATTGAGGGGTCGGATGCCAGGTACCATGACAACCGAACTTGGTTGTTAACGATAGTACAAGCCCATCCATGCCCTTGGGGGCGACTGATGTTTTTTTTCATCTGGACGCGCCATTCTGTTTTATTCTGCAAGTATGCTGTTGAAGGTTGTTTTACTTAGTAAAACAACCTTCAATATGTTGGCACCTTGAGATCTATACAGTTGCTCGGACCTCCGACCTATCAGCGCTCTGTTCCGTCGAAACACATGCGACGTCGACCCATGTGCCGCCGATCCCGTCGATGTTTCAACTGACATGTTCGGCCTTGGATCGCCAACACGTTCGCCTTCCAATCCAGTGCCTCAAACGAGGCTGGGACTGTTCAATCGTCTGTATCTTCATGTGGTAGTTATACTCTATAGAACAACCTTCGGAATTCTCAACTTCGTAGCACACATGGATTTTTGCAGCGCCCAACGTGACTTGGCATGTCAGCCCAGTCCTTTGAACCTGATGTTCGACGTCCCTCGCCTTCTGACCGGTCTTGCTCAAGACTTCAACCGCTGCGGTCAAGGCTGCACGTACCTTTTGACAGCTGTTTGAGTGGATATTTGGACAGGTGTTTCGACATCGGCGGGCGGGCCAGAATGTTCGGGAAAATTGATCAATATGTTTGCTGTTCCGGATTCAGAGTATTCCATTTAAGGCTCTTTCGTTTGAGTTTAGTGTCTTTTAGTATATAGGGCTTTGCATTTAGTGTCTTTAAGTATAGGAATTCACGATGATTCATATTCACCTCTAGTGAAAGTTCCCTATTGGTATTTAAAGAAGCAACCAAGGCTGTTGCCCTCACAAACAATGCTTGTTGCGCACACACACACAATATGCCACAATTGGTGGTTGCAGCGACAACTCATGCCAAAACATATTCACGCATATATGAACGAATTCACGGCGAATGTACAACAAGATGTTCGACACGTCTCGTCTTCACCTACTAAACCACACGTGTTCGAGCTTCCCAGCGTCCCATTCGTTCCAACATACTGGGTTCCTGGCCTCGGGGTTGAGACCAATCCCCAAATCCGCTGGACACATAGGCATGGCGCCACCAATGGCATCTGGCTCACCTACAGGAAACAAACCAGCCGAGAGAGAACGAGAAGCCAAAGTGGTGGGGTGTGGAACCCTACACACCCTCTCAAGTGTCATGCAGTTTGAACAACATATACATCAAAAAAGACATCTACTTGGACCTCACAAGAAGGTGTGTTTTTGTTGGTCTGTGTGGTGCCATTCCAGTCGCCACTGTATACATGGAATTTGACTGCTGTCTTTCGCGCAGATTGGACTGGTCCCCAATCTCCACCCATGATCATCCTAAGCAGAAAAAAGTACAGGGACCAAAATCAACATGAGCACTAAACTAGAGTTTGAGACAGTCCAGTTCCATAAAGTGGTTCGCTCATGTCCAGCCTTTCTTGAACTGTATCCAAGCGACCCCATGTGCACCATCCCTCAAGACTCTAGAGAGTACACTTGAAGGATCAACGCTTGGAGAGAACCCAATTCACCAGTGAATACAACATAAACAGTGTGAATCCCTTAGGCAGCTTGTCCTTCCAAAACTCCCAAGACTGGCCTTCAGCAAGGGCCAGGGGATCTGCCACGCAGTTCAGAGCTGCTTCATGGTCGCCTCGTAGTGAAAGCACCCACTCTGGTGGGGTGAGTGAGGTTCCGGCAGAAGGTGAGTCCTCCCCGACCTCCGACCTTGGCCTTGACGACCCGCCTCGACCTGGTGACCCGACCTTGGGTGACGACCCGACCCTCTGAGTCGGCACGTCTGCCAGGGGCTGACCTGTCTGCCTCTTGCGGTGGTTTCACCCGTGCAGAGACGACCTTCGTTCCGCCGCGGGCCCGCGGAAACGACCTGAAACCAACGACCACGCAGGACCCATGGACGGCAAAGACAACGAGCGTGAAACCATACACACCTACCCAAACACGAGCTCTCTGGGACTGCCATATATCGACTATGCCGATCAATTGACCCCCAGTCAACCACCCCTGGCCTGATCGGCAGTCCTATGGCAGTCCCATGGAGTGTCTGGATACTATAGCTACAAAAAGGATGTCCGTCCTCTGTTTCCTGGGATGGGACGCAATGGCTCTTTTTGACCAACAAAATTGGGCCCACTGTCAGGGTCGACCTGATCCGTAGCACTCCGCAGGATGCGCAAGGTCGGACCGGCAGTGTTTTTGAGCCAACACCGACCCTGGCGACGCTTTTTCAGCGTCTGCTGTTTGAGGCTTTTCTCTTTCACAACATCATGTCCACCAGACGAAATGGGCACGGTTCTAATACCCTAGGGATCCAAGTACCTTCTCAGAAGGCACCTGGACCCTCCAAACCCACCCCAAACACCTTCTGAAAAGGTACTTGGATCCCTAGGGATACGCCACCAAGGTATAATTTCACCAAGATCCTCGTCTCCTGGATCACTCCTTGACGCAGTCAAAACTCTGAGTTCCCGGGATCCTACACTTGGCGCATTCCTTTCTAGTCACTTCGCTTCCGGCCACCAAAGAACATCAAATCACGCACCAAACCCCACACGCACCGTTCAAAGGTGTTGGAAAAACATACTACCCCAGACACTCCATGGGACTGCCATATATGCCCACATTGGGGTGGTTTTGAGGGTCAATTGATCGACAGTCCTATGGCAGTCCCCGACGGGTCGTGTCTGGGTGTTTTTCCAACACAGAAACCCCGGAAGAGTCGGAGCCTTGGTTCATGAGCACTTTCGCTTCGCTCATCCGCAACAGGCTCTGCCGCCGCCGCTCGGAGGCTGCCTGGGTCCGGTGGTCTGGCTATTTAGGGTCAGCGGGTCGTAGTCTCCAAATAGAGAGTTAAAACGGTTTCAATGGGGATGAAACCGAACTTCTATCTATAACAGGGGGTGTAGATGTAGTTACTGTTCGTTTGTTCCAGTCATCTACGAACTTGAGAGGGCGGTGGTTACTGCTATTCATCACCACTTGGAGTCATCTACTATTGAGTTCTACTTCTACTGTTGAGTGGTCTACTACTGACTATTGAGACCGAGGTGTTGAGTGAAGAAAACATATCTACTATTCATATGATCTATGAATAGTGGCCATGTGTTGTCCATTGGAGAGAGCTGTGCTATGGTTGCCAGCACTTTGCTATACATGCATAGTCTCATACTCATAACCTTAAACAAAAAAACAAAACACTATAAACATTAATAAGCTGCTGGTGGTTTCAACTCACTTGTAAAATATTAGTCAGTGGGCTCAACCATCCCAAGTACAGGTTGAAAACAAACATATCCGAAACCACCACCTAGTGTAATATTATTAATTGGCCAATGTAATTCAGAAAGGTGGAACACTCATGGGTCTAGACCCACCTGCATAGCTTCAGCCGCCTCTTTGGCGGCACGCCGGGCACGTAGCGCCTGCCACTTCAAGTTGGCAGGACACATGGGAAGATGTCTGTGTAAATCTAGAAGGCAACTGCCTACTTCAGGGAACCATTATCACTTGATGATGAATGGTTCACCGTGCAGATTTCCACGCAACGAGCTGTATACGTAGGCTTGCAGAAGCTGAAATAGGGATGGTGGAAGGGGCCTACAGGTTTCCCAGCCACTCCTCTAGCCTAGCCATCATAGCCCTTTGTCTAGGCAGTGGTGGAGAATTGAAAGCAGCTGTGGTGATGGTTTTGGTTCCACCCCCTTTCTTCTATCATCCCGTTTCTGGCTTTCTCGAACGCAAATTCCCGCAATGGCCCACCTGCGGATTGCCCAGGCCAAAGGCCGCCGCAGCTACTGCACCCCCGGGGCCTCGAACGCACGAGGCCCAAGGCTTGGGAGTAGGGCGCAGAGGTGAGCTGGTTGATGGATCGGCTATGCGTGGTTTTTTTCCCACGGCAGACCGCACGGCTATACAAGACCTGTCTTCAGATCGACCCTGGAAGTTCGGTCGACTATTTTAAAACATGGTCTTTATAGGTGATCTGAGTTCTGGACTTTCCTTTACTTCGGTGGTGTGACATCTTGTTGGACTGGACTTCTAGAGTAGCAAGGGCTACTAGTCAGTAGCTCTTGGCATTGCCACTAGGAACAAGAAGCTACTAGCAACAAGTGCATCGCTACTAGTAGCAAAGGGCATCGCTACTAGGAGCAAGAAGCTACTAGCTCCTGGCATTACTACTAAGTTACTAGTAACAAGGGTGCCCAAAAACACCTTTGGTGTCGTTGTTTATACGACCTCTTTGGGTTCTTTCCTTGAAAACCCAATCAACTGTGTGGGCTAAAGCATCACGCGCGTGTGCAGAAGAAGCGCCTGCCCGTGCCATAGCTGCAGCCACCAAGAGCTGAGCAGAAGCCTCTTGCCAAGCTGCGTCTTTGAGATCCTCATAGGGACTGGCGCTGGGGCGGAAACATGATCATGTTTTGGGTCTATCCCATTACCAGCAACAGTGAAATGATGATGCTTAGGTTGCAGGCCTTGTTCTAAAATCCTGATATCAGCTCGCTTAGTTCCTGACTGTTACAGGTCAGTTCTGACAGACCAACCTCATGTTCATGAACCAGTTGGTATAAGAACTCGTCCACCAGAGGTATTCTGCATGGGGTGCGAAAGCGGATTGGATCCGACGGATGGGTTCGAAAGCTGCCTGTTGAGCTGTCTGTTGAGCGTCGCTGTGGAAGCTCAGCCTGTCTGTTGAGCTTGGAGGCTAAGTCAAGGTCTCCCTCTCTAGCCCCCGCACAAAAACACACATCCAAGACCAGTAGTCTGCAACATGTTTTTCAGATCTCCTAGCAAACTTAAGCTTGCCAACCTTTACAGCCTCCCAGTCCTGGAAGGCTTTCAGGGCCTTAGCAGCCACCAGCTGGGCAGAGAGAAGGGCGCCTCTGAGGAAATGGGTCCTGCGCAGAAAAAAAACACACGTTGGTGACACCTACATGAGCGCTCCAAGAGGTTTACAAAGGTTTCCAGCTTTCTCTGACTGGCCTGAGGCGGAGGGTCGGAGTCCGAAGCTAGATCTTTTTCTTCATCGCCGGGCCAGGAAGTCATCCCCAAAGACAGCAAACTGCATGCAAACATGTGCGGCATCCATCAAACAGACCTTCACAAACGGCAAATGAACAATTAGCATGTGAGTCCTTCCAAGGATCAAGAAGCAGCAGCCCTTGCCCTTCTTGTCCTTCAGTTCCTGCCAGCTAGAATTGATATCAATTGGATGTATATACACTAAGCTTGTCATGTTTTCCATGCAACTTCCCAACACCTTTCCGTGCAGATTAATGAAGGTCAACGGTCAACTTTGAGCCGCTTCCAGCATGAGATGGACACATATTTGCGCTTGGCTAGCTGAAACTGTTGAAGACCTCATCCGGACATTCAAAGCCCAAAAGCTTTGGAAGACCACCAGACCACCTTCCGCCCCCCCTTCCATCTGAGGTCTTCGTTGCCTCTCTCGACCCATTTTCAAGTGCAAGACATTCCTTCTTCCGGGCCTCCGACAGATCCAGCGCCTCCAACGCGCGCGCCACGGCGTCCTCTTCAGGGCCCGGCCAGTCACCGTCGATGGGCGTGCGGTCCACACAGAGAAAACCAAGGTGGGTTGTGCAAGTTGATCGGGGTCGACGTTGATCGGGGAGCCATCCAATGTCTATCCCACACACGACCCGTCTGGGACTGCCATGTCGGACTGCCGAGAAACGGCCAGGGGTGGTTGGTGTTGGGGAGTCTGGCTTGATCGGCAGTCCGACATGGCAGTCCCAGACGGGTCGTGTCTGGATGACGCCCAAACGCTCCGGACGGTATAGATCTCCGTGGGCCCAACGGTACGATCCTCCAGGTACGCTGTAGACGAGCTCGGTGTTTGTCGAACACATCACCTTCTCTAAAGGGAATGGATGTGGATCCCTATCTGGGTATAATTGCGTTACATTGACCCCTGAAATCAACCACCCATCATGATATCACAGTCGCACTTGTGGATGATGCATCCCCACGTCGTGGTATTCCCTATGCCGGTCTTTTCCAACCCACTGACCAGGTCTGGTGATCTTCGGAAAAATTGGCTCATGTGCCCCATGTGAACATCTGGAGATGAAGGTGTGTACCCCATCAGCCCCCCGCTCAGCTCGTCAAGCAAAACATGTCGCAGAATATAGACACATGTCGACCCCAATGTCGACTTATGAAAGAACGCCACACGAGTTCTGATCGATCCTCTTTATTATATGGTCTTTCTTTACCAGGATCTTCCAACTATGCAAAATGTCTGCCAACCTTAATAGATAAAGCTATAGCTATAGGCAGATACAACTATAGGGACTATAGGCACAATACCATCTTTTACATAGTTTGGAAGCTCCAGGCATGTGCCTGAATACATGCACCCCGATCCAGCACCGATTTAGACCACCCTCTTCATCCACCCCGATCCACCTGGTATTGGCCCTCACGGCTCAGTGCATTGGCCCAGTCGGCGAGCGCCGCCGCCTTGGCGGCGCCGGTAGCCTGCGCGAGGCGATGCACCGTTAGCTGGGCTTGGGCGCCTCTTGCAACCTCGGCCTGGCCCGGCCCTCTTCCGGGGTAGGGAAACAGAGGACGATCTTAAAACACCATCCTATGGGCAGTGCAAAGCTGGGACTGGCATCATGTACAGCGTTTATCTACCAGGACCTTCCAAGAGGTGTCGATAAATAGCCTTTTAGTGGTTAAGGGGTGTCCAAAAACCACCTGTTGGAAGATGTTGGTACAGAGTGGTTGATTGAACAGGGGTCAATGATGAAAACACTCCCTGAGAATGATTTACATTTAATTCAATGGATGGCATGGACCCATTCCGAAGACCAAAGCAAATGGGTGATGTAGAGTTGTTTTTCCCTACTTTGGGGTGGTTGATTTCTGGGATCCATGTAGGTCTATCTTCTCCATGTCCGAAGCGTCGGATTCCTGGGGTTTTATTCGTTCCGCTGATCCCGTCAGGAGCTGACCACGTGTTCGAGATCCGTCAGGGCGGATCACGGGTCGCCGCGGGGTCGCCGCGGTGTCGCCGCGGGCCGCGCGGCACGAGTTCACGTGCCTTTTCTGCGGCTTTCTGAGCCTGACCAGGAATGACGGTGGGAACGTCCAGAGTTCTGGAAATCGGAGGCCCTCTGCCCGTCATGTTGGGCAGCACATCGGACATAAAGTAGAAAGCCATGTTCGGAGATTGGAACAATATGGAACAATGTGGATGATATGTGGATGAATAATGATGAATATGGGGACCTGTTTGCTTGGTTCGAATCAGGTTCAACCCGATCGAGCGAGTTCGCATAAAGGTCAAGGTAGCCTTTGGTGAGATGGGGAGACTCCCAGCCCCATGTCCCCGAGACTCTTGATCTTTCAACCCCCAACCCTGAAGAGCTTTTACCATCCATGTCTGAGTGGATGGATTTTTGTTGAACATGTATATCATCCAAACATATTCAAACACATTCAGACTCTAAGTTTTAGGGTCTCCAAAGCTTCGGGTTTGGCTTGGCAGTCTCGACTTTTTGCCTCTCAAAGAGCTGCCCCAGTCGCCAGGGTCGCCCTCCTGGGCGGTCCCCAATCTGGACGGCCATGCTGACGACATTCGGCTGAAGCCTCGCCAAGACCATGGTCTGAAACAACGACAAGGAAGCTTCCCAAAGACCGGCTTTCTCATAGGCACTGATGGTTGCATTGTACATGAGAACCTTAGGGAGCGAATGACACATGGGCATACCTTCGAGCAACCTCAAAGCACGGGCCCACTGGCCAGACTCCTCATGAGCACTAATGGCCACACTGTAGACATAGATGAGAACATCGGGATCATGGTTCACCTTGTGCATGGCCTCAAAGAACTTCAATGACTGCTGCCATTGCCCACCCTGCTGGCAAGCACTGATGACTGCCTTGTAAGTGACACTGTCAGGCTGAACAATGGTCTCCAACATGTTCCGAAACAACTGCACTGCTGTTTCCCACTGCTCTCCGGTCTCGCAGGCATTGATGCTTGTATTGTAGCTCATCGCATCCGGCTGAAGCTTTGAGATCAAATCTCGGAAAATCTGCAAGGCAAGAGCCCATTGTGAGCCTTTGTCGCACGATCGAATGGTCGAAGTGTAGCTCCTCACATCGGGCTGAACTTGGGCGTTGGGCTTTGTCATTGCTTCGAAAAGTTTTAAGACTTCTTGCCACTGCCCAACCATCGCGCAGGCTCCAATCGTTGCACTGTAGCTAATGACATCTGGCTGTAAATCAGCGGAAGACAAATTCTGAAACAAACTTAATGCTTGCTGCCATTGGTTACCCTTCTCAAGGGCACTGATCGTCGCGTTGTAGCTAATGACGTTCGGCTGCACTTTCAAAGAAGGCATGGCCTTAAACAAGTCCAAGGCTTGATGGTGCTGCCAACTCTTCTCACAGGCACTGATGGTTGTGTTAAAGCTAATCACATCTGGCTGAACTTCTGCATCGAGCATGTTTGCCAACAAATGCATCGCTGGCTCCCACTCTCCACCCTTCTCACAGGCACTGATGGTGGCATTGTAGCTAATGACATTGGGCTGAACTGTGGCCTGAGACATGCTGTAAAATAAATGCAATGCTTGCTGCCATTCACCACCCTTTTCAAAGGCACTGATGGTTGCATTGTAGCTAATGACCTGTGGCCGAATTTGTGCCTTGAGCATGCCTTCAAACAACATCAATGCTTTCCGCCATTGCCCGCCCTTCTCACAGGAACTGATACTTGCATTGTAGCTAGTGACATCTGGCTGTAGTTTGGCCTTGGCCAAGTCCAGAAACAGCTTCAGTGCTAGCTGCCATTGGCCGCCTTTAGAACATGCGCCAAAGAACATGTTGTAGCTGAGAAGACTTTGCTGAACACCTGCTTTGGGCATGGCCTCAAGGAACATCAGCGTTTGACGCCATTGCCCAGATTGACAGAGCACACTAATCACCGCATTGTAGCTGATTACGTCTGGTTGAATTCTCGCTCGCGGTATGGCCTCAAAGAATGCCAATGCCTGCTGCCACTGGCCTTGCTTTTCAAAGCCGCTCATGATTGCATTGTAACTACCAGCGCTGGGTTGTACTCTCACCTGTGCCATGCAACCAATCAGCTGAACTGCTTGTTGCCATTCACCAGCCTTTGTCCAAACCCTGATGCAAGCATTGTAACTGATGAGATCTGGCGAAAGTTTGCAGCTTGGCATGGCCTCAAACAGCACCAAGGCTCGTTGCCATGCCTCACCATTCTGCAGGGCGGTGATCATCGCACTATAGCTAATTACATCGGACCGAACCTTTAAATGGGCCATGCCCTCAAAGAGCTTCACTGCCTCCTGCCATTGACCACTTTTCCCACAGGCGCTGATGGTTGCATTGTAGCTTATTACATCTGGTTGCAGTTTTGCCTGAGGCATCGCCTCAAACATGGTCAAGGCTGCCTTTCCTTGTCCCCCCTTCTCACAGGCGCTGATGGCAGTGTTGAAGGTGATGACATTGGGCCGCACTCCGCAAGCTCGCATGCTCTCAAATAAGTTCAGAGCCAGGGGCCATTGTGCGCCCTTCTCGCAGGCACTAATGGCTGCACTGTAGCTCACCACATTTCGCCGCAGTCGTGCATGGTGCATGTGCTCAAAGAGCCACAGAGCGTGTTGCCAAAGCTTCGATCTGGCACAGGAGGACATTTGCAGCACAAAGCTTGAGGCTTGCAAGGCCATCACTGGCATCATCTCCCCCTCGCCCTCAAGGCTTCCACAGAGAACTGAACGCCGTCGGCTGCGGCTGGCGCGCCACTGGGAGATCCTCAACTTAAGGGTCTCCAAGTACAACGGCTCCGGACCTCCGTTCGCTTTGTCCCCTCCCAACGGATCGGACCCAGTCCGCCCCATCGCACCGGACCCGTCGCGAGTTGGGGACCGTGGGGGACCGGCTCCCCGACGGAAGAGGCTCCGGTGACTCAACACGACTCAACACGGCTCAACAGGTCAGGACCTGGGACGTTGATCGCACAAGTAGACTCAACGTCCACGACCAACAATCCGGAACGGAGCAGGGGAAGGGACCTGGGCCTCCAATGAACCTGTAGGGGAAAGGCTTTAGGAATAGTTTCCCTCTTCCCTCCCTCCCGACGTGGACTTTTTTTGCAAACACCCCTCGCTACGTTGAGCCCTGTCTCAGTGCAGGTCGCCTTATAGCGATATGGTGTGTTTGGATCCACAAGGCTTTCAAACGAATTGCATGATGTACCTACACTCCCGAAAACTAACATAGACCCTGACAATGGTAACCTGGAAGATTGTTTTCCTCTACCAACCAGTGGTTTTCAGGGTCCATGTTGGTTTTCGGGGGCGTACCACCCAACAGTTCCTTGCAATATTTGATGTTAACAGCACGATGATTTAGCATGATTCAATTCTTCCGCTAAATCACGTCAGGCCCTAAACATGCGAAAACAGGTCAAGGTGAAGCACTGATCGAGTGAGAACGAACCCGCGGTTGGCCACTAGACTGAAACCTTGGGCCACCTTGTTTATTTTTTTGCGAATCGTAATCGCAAAGACAGAACATGTTTACTGTTTAGCTCAAGACACCTCACAGGTTGGAGCAGGTTGGAGCCCTCTTTGAGAGCTGAAGGGGTCGGTCTGTCCCGCCTCCTGGAGACTCACTCTCCCTAGCTCAACTGGGGAAGAACTACTACCAGGCTCCTTATGCTCCTTAGCTCGCTGTCTCCTGAGCAAAAGCTATATAGTTACATAATGGTGACACTCTGACGAACACATCACATGGAAGTGGAAAACCACGTGTTTGTAGAGGAAAATGGGTCATCCAAGTGACCCATGCCATCCACTTCCACCATGTTTTCTTCGTCAGAGTGGGGTGGGGTCACCAAGGAGTCCCGTGGCGACGGTCGACCGTCTGGCGGAGTCTGCCCCCGGAGTTCGATCGCTTGGGAGCGGTATATTCCATTGGTCAGAAAGCAGCATGCAGGGAACACTAAGCTCCAATGTGTTCATATAGTTCATAGGATCTCAAGCATAGCAGCATGTCATTATGGAACACATTGAGATCCTATGAACTAAGTATCAGGAAACACTTCTATTGAACTAAGTATCGTATGAACTAAGTATTAAGATCCTAAAAGGAAACACTAAGTATCAGACCCTACAAACTTTACAATCAACTCACATCAAACTACCAGGAGGTCAGTGCCGACGGGGTGAACTTGGAGGACACGGGCTCCCAGGATCCACTAGATGGGCTGCCCGTCGATCGACGCCACCGTCGATCGACGCGGTCCGTGGATCGACGCCTCCGCGGCAGACGTCTTGGACTCGAGCTTCAACTGCTCGAAGCCCGGCATGGCCTCGTCGCGCCGGGCGTCGTGCTCGTCGCGCCGGGCGTCAACAAAAACGCCAGGTGGTGCGGGTGGCAGGTGGGTGGGGCTCTGAGTTCAGGTACAACATGGGACAAGAAGTTGCTGCCCAAAGCATGAGGGCCCTCGTGGGCAATGATCAGTCCTGTGCCCAAGACCTTGTTCGCTTGGAAATTTTACACCTGATCTTCTTCCGAAACAGTTGCTTCAGGTCAATTCAGGTTCTGGATGAGCTTCGTGCCTTGCTGAGACGAGATGATGACATTAATTACATGTATATAGTTTGCTTTGTGTCTTGCTTTTCCTTTAGAAGCAACAATGAAAGTGAGCCCCTTCATTGGAAGCATGTGCAAACAGTAGTTGGTGTAGTGATTGGTCGAATTCTGTGAACGGTCCCAATGTTGTCGAACCATATCGAACCTCTGAAACCAACTTTTCCGGGAACTGAGGACCTCACGGCCAGATTGGCACCGGCTCCCGCGCGCGGGGGGAGGAATAGCGTCAGTTGTGAATCATTGTCTGACTTCGAGCCAGCAAGTTTCAGCAAGTAGTCAGAAAAGGCTGTGAATAGCAGCATACTGTGCACTGAACTATTATTGTATATCATAGTACATAATGGCAGTTGGCAAAGCAAGTTGCTTCTTGCGACACTGAATTATATAGGTTCTTCCAAAGGTTTATCTTTGATAAATACCAATAAAATAGCTGCACACTCCGCGACACTTCTGTTTTTTCCTCTGAAGGCGTGCCAGTCCATGATGCCAGCCAAAGCACATGTAGGCACCAGCAAGCGAAGAAAACAGAATGTAGTTTGAAGATAGTGAAGCTCTCGTTAAAGCCTTGCTTTTGAAGAGGTGAACTATTTAACAATCATTCAGTATACAGTAGCCATAAATTCAATAATCATGTTGGTGCGCAAGATTGGTACACAGCTTCATCCGAGATATTGTGGCGGTCTGAGTCCGGATTTTTCACCTAGCGCTGACGATCTCTTCATGTGATCTTGCAAACAACCTGCCGGAGATAGGACTCTAGTCAGTGACTCGTGTCACATGTCTTTGCTGAGTCACCATAGCTACATGGTACCGCGAAATGTTTCTTACTTTGATTTTTTCTGTTAGCATATCTTAGCATTCTTGCCAAACTGGAAGAGGGCGCCGGTCGGTAAGGCCTTCTCACCACCAACGCTTTGCCGCTACACCTCGACACGCATGTCGCAAAAACGTTGTGTGTGGGTCTTGGCGAGTCGGTGGGGTGGAGGCCATCGCTTCTAAGGTTGGAAGTTATTAGGTTGGAGGCCATCGCTGAAAAACGGACTCAATGAGATTTGAAGAGAAGTTGTCCAATGCCGCTTCCATGGTTCCATGGTTCCGGAGGCCACCGGTTTCGTCCCCAAAAAGCCGGTGAGGCCACCCGTTTTGGGAGATCACCGGTGAAAACACCCGGCGCAGGCCGGTCTAGCCAACCAGCCAGGCTGATGCGCGCAAGCGCCGAGTTGGCCCACCCAGTTGGGGAGACCGGATGGTGACTGTCAGACGTGTGGAGAGACTCTCCACGGGAAGAATTTGAAGGAGAGGCCCTTCTCTAAGGATCCAGTCGTACTTTCTCAGGTTAGGTACGACTGGCCCCCTGGCACCTACATAGCAGTGTCTCCAATCACCGTACTTGAGAAGGTACTTGCATCCCTAGGGCCTGAAAGCCTACTTCCAATCCGCTGCCACAGCACAGCCGGGAAAAACCGTTTGCTATATGTCATCTGTTGGTCTGCTTCTTTGGTGAAAAATGTCTTCAAGTGGAGAGGTGTCCGACACATGTTCCGCTAAACCGATATGTTGCCAGCTTCAACGGCACTGCGCTGGCAGCAAGTAAGTGCCGATCACAGGGGTCCCCTTTGTCTGAGTAAGTTGACGTCTCGTCTATCACCAGCCTGGAGGAAACAAACGTAGCAAGTAGCCAGTCAAGGCTAAAAAACGAACATTTGCGCACCAAGTGAACATCGGTTGATCCTTATTACATATTGTATATAAGTAATAATCCCTGCGGACCCGGGAGACTGGTTTAACTAGTACATGTCGACATGGACTGCTTAAACTGCCTAACTCTGCCCACCCGCTCTCCGAGCACTTTTTCTAAGCAGTGCTCCGATCACCGCTTCCATGCCGCCTCCATGTCGATCCTGCAACGTACATGACTCCAAACTGTTAATGCGTTTATCAGAAACACAAATTTATCTTCCAAAAATCGTTTAACATTCGTGCATGGAGCTTGTCTCAATAACCTCGGTCCTCCGCATGCGCTTTTTTGCCACCTTCAGCCTCAAGCGTGCCACCATCATCAAGTAGCTCTCGCACTGCTGGCCCGAAACGTGTCTGGCCACATGCTTGAGCACGCCGATGCTGTTTCTCCAAGTTGTACAATTGCCAAGTGGCAAGTTGTGCCCTTGGCTGTACAATTGCCACATGATCTCAAGTCAAAAGACCTATGACCTATGACCACAGAGGTCATTGACCTGTACTATAGATGATGGCCTAGACTAGTCTGGATGGAACCCTGTGACTGTGAGCAGCAGCTAAGAGTCGCCACCACAAGCATCGCTTGAGCATGTGCTTGAACATGTGCAGCTTCGGCTTCAGAAGCCATGCAATGCGGTTCCGCCTGGCCGCAGTCTGTTTGTGGTAGAAGCAATCCAGGGACCATGTGAAAATGAATACCCTATAGCTACAAAAACTTGCAAAAACATGTGCGTGCCTCGCAGTCTCTCTGTGGAACATGGCAGAAACAATCCAGGGACCAGGTGAAAACCCTGCTACAAAAAGACATGCAAAAACATCTGCAGGTGAAAACCACGTCCCATCGCCGTCCAGAGGCACCTTCATCCTCGTCATAGGCAACGCGGTTCTGATAGGCTCCTTGTTCAGCGGTGTTGGTGGCACATTACCCACCCCTGGCTTCAATTAGGTATGGCCAAGTTAGCTAGCCAATTGAAAATGAACAAATTGCTAAATGCATAGCCTAGAATCTCTTCCGAAGAGCGCGCTTCATAGTGCTTCATCTCCAGATCCCATCGCCGTCGCGTCCATCAAGCGACGACCGCGGTGAGGAAGAAAGGGATCATGCATGTTTGTGTGGATGGATGTACTATACTTTGGAATTTGGTTGAACTGTTGTGGGGTCTCCACGATGGAAGTATCCACACCCTGTCAAAACTTCACCACTCTAGTGTTCCCCAACATTTGCTTAGAATGGTGTTGGGTCGCAACTTTCTGGGAGGATGGTTCTGTCCCCCACATACCTCCTGAGCTTGTATGTCACCTGTGCCACGCCCGCCCGCCTGAACCCCTCCACTGCAACGAAGGGCCGATCCGACGTTTCAGGGCATGGTTTTCAGGTGATCCCAACCCTGAATCCCTGTGAGCCAAATGGTTGATATATAACGGTCTACTTAGAGGTGCTTATAGACAAGTAAAGTACGATCTTTTAAAGTCAAGTACGTCCGTATGAATGAATTGCAAACGAACAAGTTTAACGAGTACTTTGGTTCACAGGGAATGTATATATATATATATGTTATTTTTGAATGTGAAACCATGACCACTTGAAAACATGAAAACACATTCAAGAGTGTTTTCGGGGAAATGATTCTCCCTCACAGCTCGGGGATACACTCAACCGCGGAAGTCACGGCATACTAGTAGAAAACATGTGTTCCCCAATGTAAACGCGACGCCAAGAGGGGGGTCCCATAGTCCTTGCAAAAAAGTTGTTCCCGCATGTAAACGCGGTGATTTGTGAATGTTTTTGGTGTGTTCTCCCCAACACAGTTCTCATGTATTCAATACAATGTTCCCGCATGCAAACGCAATCATTTAGACATGTCACTTATTAGCCATGTTGTGCAAAAACGATGTTCCCGCATGTAAACGCGATGATTTGGCAATGTTTTTGATGTGTTCTGAAGTTCCATCCGAAGCACAATATTCATGCTTTCACAACAAGCTTCTGGCATGGAAACGCAATGACTTAGCAATGGATGTTAATCTCCTTGTGGTCCCTTGACATCTGTTTGGACCAGGCTCTGGACACTTTACTTGAATCACACAAGTTGCAGAGAGGTATCGGAACGGGGATGAACGAGAGGGTGAACGAGAGGGTGAACGAGGTCACAACCCGTGCCACCAAGAAAAGCCCTCAGAATGAAAACCTTAGTTACCGCATCATGTATATTCTGTCGCCCCTGTCCTTCTTTCTTTCTTTCCTTCCTTCCTTCCTTCTTGTCTCCCCGCTTGTCTGCTGTGATCGTTGTTTTGTTTGCCGCTGCTGCCTTAGCTTCTCCCCAACTAAACGCAACATCGCCACGACCTCCACAGATTCAAATCCCCAAGTAAACGCTTCAAAAATTGAATGTCGCCGCGACTTGAACATTTGAGAGTATGAGGCTTGCAAGTCATTGTAAGTGATCGCGGCTTCGTGGTCAAGTGCGCAGTATGGACGACACCGGGAAACAATAAAACATTCCACAGAAGGGAATTCTCCCTCACCCTAAGCAAAATGGCATATGGGTTTGTCTCGTGATGAAACCAGTTCCGAGCGATTGGAGGGTCTCGCGTTTACCATTCACCATATCTTGCGCCTGGGTTGTTCGAGAACAAACGACCAACACTTTTTTGCTGCATCGTCCGCCTGAGTCGTCGGAAACTTGAGAGGAGGGAGACACGAAAGGTAGGACAGCGGGAAGAGAAGAGAACACGAGAGGCAGGAACAAAAATGCAATGTTCGACATGGTGATTTATCCCCTCGGAGGCGACCTTTCGTACATATATGTTCATATGCACTTTCTCGAAGTACTTGAACTCACGAAGTTCCAAGCAACCAAAGAAAAAGAACTCGAAGGCCGCGATGCGTCCTTTCTCACGATGCCAACGGGTGGCGAAGGTCGTCGCCGAACGTGACTCAAGGGCCCTTCGGCCGGATTTGAGAATTGAAATTCGATTGCGGTGTGACTCGAATGTCATCTATCCGCTCTCATCATGAAATGCATTGCAAAATGGAAAACAAATCTCACATGTGCATTCGCAACATTGACACGCCCAAGGAAGTTTTCAAGGGCTGTCGAAGAAAATTCAAAAAGCGGCTAGAGTCATCTTCAACGAAGGACATCTAAATCACTCACATGGTACCAGGCACCATGTTCTCTCTCAGCCAGGCGTCTTGGTCGAGTGCCAGCAACAAACGTCATAGGAGTCTGGCAGGTTCGATCAGCCAGTTCACCGTTGTAGATTTGCTCACGGACACGGTCATTGCGTTCCAAGGCAATGATCTGATTTCTCTGACGAACGATGCGACGATTCACGTCAGCCAAAAACACCAGGTTGTCATTCCACATTCGGTGCCACTGACATACTTGCTCATCAGAAAATTGCGAGGTGTCCTGAGCTCGAAGCAATTCACTGAACTTCCTCCAGCGCTGTGTGGTGAAGCTCTCAGATTGCAACACTCACCTTGTCTGGGAGTCCAGACTGCTATCAT